CCCCGATCTGTAGCCAACTTGGACTGGAGTGTGGGTGACCCGGGACCCACCACTTGTGATCGGTGTCTGAAGTTGGGGCAGTCTTGTGGAACTTAACCAGTGGGGTCTGCACTAATTGGGTAGTGTCAGAATGGAGTTTAACTGTAGGATACCAATTAGAATTGGTAGAATTGGAGAATTGCTTGGTGTGGAAACCCCACACATTTAGAAGTGTTATGTGTAGAAACAGATCTTAATAGGGTGAATGCTGTTTTTATCATGTATTCCTTTGTGAGGGGATCCCAACAAAATCACACTGAGTCTTATGGTGAGACCCAGAAGAGACCCAGACGACAAGTCAGGAGATGCTGAAAAGTGATGGCTCTCATCCCCTAATTAACTCCATGCGTGGGAGTTACTTCACTTCTCTGGGCTCCAGTTCCTCCCATAAAATGGCGCTATTTAGTAGATGGTCTCTGAGGTTCCTTTTTGTTTCGGATTTCAGCACTCCTATACTGTTGGCCGTGAGAAAGTCAGCCTGGCGTACAGGAGGCTTCAGAATCAGACAGCCCTAAAGTTCAACACCAAGGTGATATTACTGGTACACTAATAATGAAGTGCTTCACTTGAAAAATGGGGAAATAATCATCACGTTGCAGAATTGTAAAGATTGGAAAATAACCATAAATCAGTAAACACAGCAGCATTCTTTCTCAGATTTAATGCCACTTAAGAGACAAATTATTTTTTAACAAACAAATTAAAATAATGGATGCTATATCATGCCTAAAAGGCTACTTTGTCATTTTTAAGGTGAAACAGTTTAAAATAGGCTATGAGCTTCAATGAAGAGAAATGAAGAAATGATGAAACACAATGCCTTTGCAGTTTCTTCAGAGAGCTCATTTCAGAACAGTTTACTGATGGAAACTTTTGGAGGGGTTTGTCCAGGTCTACCCAGACAGGTGCTGCTATAATAAAGCCTTCCCGGGTTTCAGCAAAATGAAGAGAGGTTTGTTAAGTTTAAACAGAGCAAAGAACCATTTTAGTCAGGATGAAAAATGAGTTTATTTGGGAATAGCAGAGGAATTGCAATTTGGGACGAGAAAGCTATGGTGACCCGCAGGCCAGTCCAACGAGATAAAGGGAAGGTCAGCTTTTTATTAGGTTTTAGGGGGAAACTGGGGAGGGTTGTTTTGAACAAAAGAAACAAGAGTTAGGTTGTGGTGATTTCCTATTAGCTGTAAATGGTGGTTAGTGCTTGTTGTTGCCGGGGGCATTTTCCTTCCTTTTCTTTCTTTCTTTTAATGTTTATTCATCTTTGAGAGACAGAGAGAGACAGAGCATGAGCTGGGAAGGGGCGGAGAGAGGGAGACACAGAATCCAAAGCAGGCTCCAGGCTCTGAACTGTCAGCACAGAGCCTGACATGGGGCTCGAACTCACGAACTGTGAGATCATGACCTGAGCCGAAGTCAGATGCTCAACCGACTGAGCCACACAGGCACCCCCCTTCTTTTTCTTAAAATCAGGAGAGGTGCACCTGGCTGGCTCAGTCGGAAGAGCATCGATCTTGGGGCCCTGAGTTCGAGACCCACTTGGGTGTACAGATTACCTAAAATAAATAAATAAACTTAGAAAAAAGCAAGAGATAAAATTCCTGTGTGAAAAATGTCCTCCCTCGTTGAAATAATTCTTACCTTTCTTCTGTGCGTGGTTCTGTAGGCACATGGGGGAGAGCTCCCCCTTAGGGCTTTTGGGATCCATTTTAAATGAGGTTTCCTTTATTTTCACAGGTTACATTTTTCTCCCTGGTGCTAATGCTCATTTTCCACTAAACCGAAAGGGAAAAAAAAATAGTTGTAATTGAGATTTCATCAACCAGGACATTTTAGACATGCAGAACCCGGACTTTTGCTCTTATACCGTAAATCGAACAAAATGCAGAAAACCATCATTTCCCACTCATGCTACCAATCACTGTGTACCTACAGGGCCGCCTTGTGCCCTGGGAAGAGGGCTATGGCATTTCATAACCATTATAACACTTCCTCTGAGGAATCTCAGAACCAGCCTGTCCAAGAACGTCCTTTGACGTTAAGTCAATGATTCAGTCAGAATCTGAAATATTCTTACAGAGAAAATCAATTAGAAAGTTGCATCACTGCAAACTCAATATTAAACCTTCAGCTTCTTTGTGTCATTAAAAGTACAATTCTTTAAAAAAAACTAAATGCACTGCACAAATAGAAGGTATTATTTTTGAACTGGCCAAGAGTCATGATTTGGGCAAGGACCAAGGAGAATAATAAACAAACGGGGTGGAAGAATTTGGGATGTGACTTTTTTCCTGACATAAATTATTATTATTTATTATGTGCAGAAGACAGGAAGTGTCGTCTGGGCCAGGAGGACTCTGTCTCACCAGGTACCATCATGAGGTGTGAAAAGGCACCATTCTTTCTATTCAGGAAAAGAGCTGGATAGGCCAGGACCATTTTTTTTCTGCTGAAGAGTTGTGTCTTAAGACTGTCTGTACTGGATTTGCAGTAGTGGAATTCAGCTATCTCTGAGGAATTTCTTCGAAGAGTCTCCCTTTGTCTTGTGTTCTGTTTCCCATTGGACCACCAGCCTTTGGCTCTGAAACAAAAGCTCCAGCCAGAGGGGTTCATCAACCAGCAGGTTGCTGTGTAGAAGAACTCATCATTTGTTTCTTTTTATTTCCCTTCCTGACACACATACTAAATTGAAATGACATTGAAAGTATCAACCTGAGGGGCACTTGGGTGGCTCAGTTAAGTGTCTGACTTCCGCTCAGGTCATGATCTCAAGGTTCGTGAGTTCAAGTCCCACATCGGGCTCTCTGGTGTCAGCACGGAGCCCACTTCAGATCCTCTGTCCCCCTCTCTCTCTGCCCCTCCCCCATTCATGCTATCTCTCTCTCTCCCGAAAATAAATAAATGTTAAAAAAAGATTTAAACAAGAAAGTATCAATCTGAAAAAAAGGAAGGAAGAGAGAATTTGTGGGATTTGCCCTATTTAAACAATATATGTCATTACTCTGGAGTATTAAGAGCAGGCAGGGCCACAGGAAACCAGTTCCCAGCAGGTGAATAGGTGATAACAAACTGATCAGGTTTGATTTCTAGTTTTGTTTCATTTTTAATTTATAATAGTAATAGCTAACGTGAGCTACATACATGAGTATGAGTATGCCGTGTGCAGTTTATAAATTGCTTTAGCATGCATTCATGACCTAATGTGATTCTCACGGCAGTGTAATGATACAGATACCATCATTATCCCCCATTTTACAGAGAAGAAGACTGAAGCTCTGAGAGACTGACTTTCCCCGGGTATTCCAGGTAACAAGAGGCAGAGCTTGAAATTAAGTTTAGGTATTCTGACTTCAAAGTCTTTGTCCTTCTATTCCGTTTTTTAAAGAAGACCTAATACTCTGGAATCCTTGAGCTGGAAGAGATCTTGGAGACCTGGCGGGCCAGGCTTTGCTTAGTCCTGCAGGGTGTTAACACAGGTCCCAACAAAGTTTGGGAAATGGCAGATTAAAAGATGTTGAATGGACTTCTTGCCCACAGAATGTCCCAAGGTCTTTGTTAAACTAATGGATCTTGATGCTTTGGCTAATCTTATTTGGTGATGGATTTCTTCTTGGGCAGCATCTACCTAAGACCCACAACCTTAGCCCCTAGCCGGTGAGACTCCTGTGTGGTGTTTTGGGTGAGTCCCAGACCGAACAGAACTAGAGCAACACTATGGTTTTCAACAGAATTATAAAGAGTGATGGAGTTTCTTCTGACTCTCGGGTCTCTTCTTTGTTAATGCTGGTTTTTATCCTATGGCCCCTCAAACCAAACTGCATGAGCTACTGTCCACAGTCCTCCTGGCCACGGTTGCCATTGGAGGGCTCACCTGGACCTCCCAGGCTTCCTTACTGATACCTGCTCTCAACTTGGTCCCTAGTATTCCAGGCTCCATGGTGAGGTGTGTTGGAGGTCAGGCTCTGGATTGCTCAGGTTTAGATCCTGACTCTCCTGTTCACTATCTGTGTTTGCCAGTGTCTGTCAGTTTCCCCATCAACAAAAGGAGGCTAAACAGTACCTGTTTCACATGGTCTTATAAAGATTAAGTGAGATCATATAAGTAAAGCACTCAGTTTATTGCCTGGTCCCTAGCAGGTGTTCAAAAAACTCACATTATGATTATTATCATTTAATAATACACTGAACACTAGCTAAGTATTGCCAGAAGACATGTAGGCCACCTTCCATTAATTTCTCCAGATGTACCAAGCAGTTATGACCCCTGTAGAGTTGTCATTATTGAGTGATGTCTTGAGGTCATGCCCTTTGCATGTTTGTGGGATGTTATGGGTTTATAAAAGTCGCTGGACACCTCCCATAGGGATGGTCCTATATCCCTTTGTGCTCTATGATGACTTCTTCATGAGACACTCCTTTCGGAATCAAGTTCTAGGAAAAATGTTTTGTATCTTCTTGTGACCTTGATGATGGTTCTTTCTTCATTTTGGCCTGGAGACAAATTTTTGCCTCAGCTTAATCTTATTTAACCTCCCTTAATTTAGCATTTTCCCCTTTCTTTTGATTTGTACTTTTCATATTACTGAGTTTCTGTTTGCATTTTAAAAATTTTGTTTTTAATGTCTTCATTTTGCAATTGATATTTTTGTAAGCCATTTGAGTCTTTGGAGAATTAGACAGAGCACACATACATACACATGTATACATAAATATCCCAGAAGGATGAGCTGAGTATCAAACAAAAATCACTGTATTGGATAAGCATTTAGTACCAAATAGGTGGTGTATCCTAAGTAATTATTTTTTAAGCAGTTTATCCATTTTTTATACCATACAGTATACCAATTCATAATTCTTCAAAAATCAAAGACTCACAGAAGTGTCTCAGCATAATTTAATAACACCCGTCATTTCATGAATATTGACTGTGTGCCCAGAAAGAGACTGACACGCATTTTCTCTATTTTTTCTTAGCATGTCAGAACGTTGGGTAACATTATCTCCATTTTAAACAAAAGAAAACTAAAGCTCTGAGAAGGAAAATGTCTTCCTCAAATTCAAATACATTCAGCTGGTAAGTGGTGGGTTTGAGATTTAAGTCCTGGAAGGTCTAATTATTGTCCATGATTTCTTCAGTACATTGTGCCCCCTCTCACACAATCAAGAACCTCTCTGGTTGGTAATGGTCATCATACACATTTCTCCTGCTGAGGCTATTTTGTCCACATCAGATAGTACAGTGGTTTGATTCTCCTACCTTTAAGAGGTGGAGTTTAATTCCTCTTAACTTGAGTGTGGCCTGAACTTAGTGACTTACATCCAACAAACAGAATATGGTGGAAGTAAAAGTGTGTGACAGCAAGATTAGGTCATTGAGCGCATTAGGGCTGCCTTTTTGTTCTTCTCTTGGACCGCTTGTTCTAGAAGAATCCAGCTAGCATGTCGCACAGACTCTCAAGTGGCCCCATGGAGAGATCCTGCGGTAAAACGGAGGCTTCCCAGACAATGTCTTCACTGCAAGCCCATCAGAGACCTTGAACGAGAACCACCCATCTAAACTGCTCCCAAATTCCCAACGCACAGAAACTGTGAGCTAATAATGTTTGTCATTTTAAGCTAAGTTTGGGGGAGGTAATGTATTATATAACAGCAGATAACTGAGAAGGAAGATGATATAGAATTTGAAGACCTTGCCCCAGGTCTTATGTGGGCCCTTGACAGTAATTCACAGTTGTCTGCTACTGGATATACTGGATCTGCCAGTAGCTACTCCTGCAGCCCATGTTTCTGTTAAAGATGGTTGACTTTTCTGCAGATGAGACTCTAAGTCCACTCTCAAAAAAAAAAATATTTATTTATTTATGAGAGAGAAGGTGCAAGTGAATGAGGGTCAGAGAGAGAGGGCAGTAGGAGAGAGAGAGAGAGAAAGAGAGAAAGAAACGGGGCTCACCCAAAGCGGGGCGTGTGCTCACCAGATGTGGGCTCGTGCTCACCCAAAGTGGGGCCCAAGCTCCCCTGATATGGGACTCGAACTCACAACCCCACGAACCATGAGATCATGACCCGAGCCGAAGTCAGATGTTTAACAACTGAGCCACCCCGGCGCCCTGTGAGTCCAGCTCTTAAATATTTGCCGGTGAATAGGAATTTGCATTATTGTCTGGTAGCCCAGAAGGCCCTCACTTTAGACAAACAAGGACTATACTAGAATACTTGCTGGAGAGGCCAGTTAGGAATGGGAGTGGTAGGCACCTGTAGTCCCAACTACTTGGGAGGTTGAGGCAGGAGGATCACTTGAGCCCAGGAGCTCTGGGCTGTAGTGTGCTGTGTCAATTGGGTGTCCACACTAAGACTGGCATCAGTATGGTGACCTTCTAGGAGCAAATGACCACCATGTTGCCTAAGGAGGGGCGGACCAGCCCACACTGGCAACAGAGCAGGTCAAAACTCCTTTGCTAATCAGTAGTGAGATCGTGCCTGTGAATAGTCACTGCACTCCAGCCTGGGCAACAGGGTGGGAGCTTTTCTATAAAAAAAAAAAATATATATATATATATGTATATATATATATGTACGTGTGTGTGTGTGTGTGTGTGTGTGTGTGGTATGTGAAAAGAACCAACCTTGAGTGAAGATTTGTTAAAGCCCATTTAGGCCCACTGATGTTTGAGGCAGATGATAGACCCAAGAAGTTGTTAATGTTATCCATATATAGACCCTCCATGTTTTATCCCTGTATTAAATTGTTATAAGAAAGCAAAGAGCCTGGAACATGTTATCTCATGCATCATCCATAAGAATCTCCTTTTAAAACCATGCTTCTGTGCTTGCCCAAAACCCTGGCTGAGATATGTCTTCGAATGATAATTCAGCCAATACATATTCAGTGCTGACTAGGTACTAAGTGCTACTTCAGGGGTTTGGGGTACAGCAATGAAGAAAACAGACAAAATCCCTGCCCTCATGAATCTTACAGTCTTGTGAGAGAGACAGAGAGCAAGTAAACAAGCAAATACATAGGATGGTTCCAGAGGGTAAGTGCAATGCAGAGAAATAAAAAAGAGAGTGTGGTGCTGGGCCCAGGGGAGCCCCGGGGGAGAAGAGGCAGGGATGACTGCTCTGAGGGGACACTTCAGCAGAGAGACATGTGTTGAGAAGCTCCGTTGCCAACATTCCAGGCAGAGGCACAAGTCCTGTGGCAGGGATGAGTGTGGCTTCTATGAGGAAGAGCAAAATGACATTTGAGGATTTCTGTGTAAGGACTCACATAACAAATCCCCCTTGAGTTGCAGAGTTTCAGGAAAAGTTTGTCTCTGCTGACCAGTTTGTGTTCTTTTTGGCACAAAAATAACTTACAATGTCTCCCTTTCAGCCTGGGCTTCCAGAAAGCTCATAGCTAAATTCTGTACCGGCTGATGGTGGGTAATCATCTCATCTCAGGGGTCTGGGAGTAGCTGCTCACGCTGCTTCTTTATAGAGATAAATTCTCATTTGTCCTGGGCTTTCTCGGGGTATGCTTATGTTGTCACCCAGATGCCACCTGAAACAGAGTTGAGAGGGGGTAGAAGAATTAAGATATTAATATTGTCATTCAACAGATTTTCACTGGAAACAAGGAAGTAGAACAAAGTGGCAGATTTCATTGCCTTATTGATTCCTTGTACATTTATTACTTGTGTACCAGTTTCCAGAAACTGGGTGGGGATCTGTGTGGAAAGACGAGGAGGATGGTTCCAGCCCTCAATGTGTTCCCTCACATTCTAGAATGCAGCACAAACACAACAAGTAGTTACAAACATCAGATATGCACTAGCACATGATGGGAGCCCAAAGAGGGAGGCAGCTCGTCCCGGGGAGGACTCTGATGGAGGAGGGGGTCTGTGCATGGGGTCCCTGCCCCTCATGGTAGGAGAAAGGCCACATCAGCCCCTTCACCAGCCCCTGTCCAAGGAGGGTAGTGACTGGCAGAAGATATGGGCACCTTCTGGGATCAATCCTGCCCCAGGGCACTGAGGGTCTGGGCTACACAGCAAGAGCTTTCCTGACAGGAAGAAAAAATAGATTGAAAATGTCTCAGCTCCACAAGTCGTATTTTTAATTGATTTGAACACAGACTCTTCAATCACGGTATTAATATTTAATTGTCCTGTCAGGTCAGATCCTTCCCGGTCAGACAGTTAAAAATGGCCTAAGACTGAGGAGGAAACTAGGTGGTGGGAGAGCATGATATGAGGGAGAGGAGATGCTGGCACAGGGAAGCGGGGGATAAGACATGAGGGCCAAGGAGGAGCAGCCTGGCCCTGGGGTCTTGACAGGAAGAATTTCTAATTCACTGTCGCTCTGTCATTCCTTACATACATCTCTAAGCATAGAAGCACTTGTCTACAAGGCCGTTTGGGGAGCCATGTGAGAGTTCACACAACACAGAGGCCTGTAGGGAAAATAGAGGTTTCTTCAAGGGGAGGAAGCTGAGAGGCTGGTCTTTTTGGAAGGATCCACAGGAACCAAGCATTCAAGCCCTTCAGTTTTCCTAAATTTGTGGGGGTGCTGACTGGGGTTTTGGGCTCCACCCCAGCCCAGGTGAAACCTGATTTACAGGCGTGTTCTTTTGAGAAACAGTGTCCATCTTGGCTGCCTGGCATCACAGCAACATGGAAAAATGACACGAGCACCATTTTAGGTGAACACACCCTCAGGAGCAGTCAGCCAATGTCTCCATACGACTCGTTCCAAGAGGCTATTATCAGGCAGGAGATGAGAGGGATGGGAGAATTAGCTTTCAGTTCAGCCTCTGGCTTTATTTATACGTCCTTTTTAAAAACAGAATCTGGGAGGTAAGGCCTCTCCCCCCAGAACCAGAGGGAAAAGTGAGTGCCCCCAACCTGGAGGGCCCCACAGTCTTTTCTGACCACTGCCAACTCCCTCCCTGAACGAATGTCTAACAAGTCTAGATAGTTGCAGAACATCGAGATGAGGTGATGTCTTATTTTCAGCAAGCTAGAGGAAAAACTTGAGTCATCTTTAGGAGGGGCTTTAATATCGCCTTCACCTCTCTGTGTGTCTTCTTGGATTGAGGCAATGGTTCTCATGGGGGAAGAAGCATCTGCTGGAAGGAGCCTTAGGAAATGTGTGGGTGCGTTTGGTTTGTCTTAATGGTTGGGTTGGGATGTTCTCAGTGTTCAGTGGGGGAAAGGGCAGAGATGCTAGACAGGCTGAATGGCTCTGGGTGGTGTCCCCCACCAAGAACGATCCTCTGTCTTGCATGACTCCTGGGTGCCCGTTGTGTGTGTTTGAGTGGAGAATGTGTTTGGGATGATCTGAGCATAAACCTGAACTCTATTTTACTCATAAAGCATTTGTTGCACATTTTCAAATACACAAAGTTTTCCAGGAAAGCAACTGTTGTGGAAATCAAGGACAGACTGTATTTGGAGGTGGGTGGGAGTACTTTACCAAGAGCTGTTCACCTTTTAGAAAAATCACATCCCTGATGGCAATGCCACTTGTGGTACCTGAGTTACCAGACTCACATACCTGTACCAGTCTGCATTCGCAACTGTCAGATTCACGGGAGCTTCTGTTCCTGCCCGGGGAGCATCTGATATTTTGTGCGGCTCTTAAAGTAATCACAACAAACCTTTATGTATTGAAACACACGCAATTAACGTAAGCGATTTTCTTTTTATTTCTCCTTTGTATTGCCATTAGGGCATTATACGGAGTTTTACAATTATGTGTAAGGTGGCTAATATTAGTTTAATATCAGGAATATAAAAGGGGAATTGTAGAATATTTGTTTTTGGCAAGAGGCATTGGTTTTGATCTAGGTTCTAAACCAGGCTTGAGGTTACTGGTTTAGGTTTTACAACAGAAAACATCTTGAGAGAAGAACCAAACAGGTGGTTTGTCAGGTATCAGACTCCCTGAGTCACATGCTACTCTGAGGCTCAGATGTTTCTGAGAACACAACCATCCGCAAGCATTAGGCAGCTCATGGGAAAGAGTGAAGGGTTGGAGAAGCAAGAGCGCAAGGGTCCCGTGGGGCACCTTGGGGCACCTAAGTCACAAACTGGGACTTAGCTCCTGCTGACTGCTGCCTGTAGGAGTGCAGGCACGGTGTTGCTAGAGGGTTTTTTTTTTTTTTTTTTTTTCCTATTGGAAGCTGGCAAGCTGACATGTTGGCAGTTGCATTAGGTAGGGTAAGGCTAGTCTGCTCTAACAAAGGGAGCCAATACAATTGTCTTAAGGAACCAGGATGTTGATTTCTTCTGCAGGTCATGGTCAAGGCAAGGCCACAGCCCCCTCTGGGTGTCAGCAAGGAGAAGAGGGAAGAAGGCGTGGGAGAGAGTGTGTGAAGCATTATTAAGGTCCGGGCTCGGAAGTGGCCCACCTCAGTTCCACTGTGCCCATTTGGTGGGCAAATGTACACCCATTGTCCTGCTATAACACGGCCGGTGACCGCCAGTGTACCTCATTTAAACTTTCTAAAAATACATCATGTGGACCAATGCAGTACGGACCACATGGCTGGACTTGGCTCAAAGACGGCATGCCGGTCCTGCCCTGCTGGCATTTATCATTTAGCCGGGGATTTAAGTTCCACACACAATTCACAATAGAGGAGGAAGGAGGAAGGTGGGTGACACAGGGTATTTAAGTTGGTGCAGGAGTGGCGAAGTCAAAGTAAACACTCTTGGAGTGGAGGACAAGAATAGACCTTGAATGCAGGCAAGGGAGTTTTTGTTGAGGTTACCTGCCCCGCCTCAGGAAACCTTTCCTGACAAATCCCTCCGGGCCAGCCTCGGTGCTCCTGTGAAACACTCCCGATGAAATGCCAATCGCACTGACTTCTTGTCTGTCTTTGTCTTTCCATCTAGGCTGCAGTTATATTTTGCTCACTGTTATAGCCTCAGGATCTTTCAGAGTCACTGGAATATGGTAGGCGCTCAACAAATACTTGATGAATGACTGAAAAACATCCTCAGAGCAGTGGACAATGAATGCATATTAGAGTCCGTGTGAGGCAACATCACAGTGTTTTGGTAGGAAGATTAATCTTGCTATCTTGCTTAGAAGGCCTGAGTAGCAGGACACAGAAAGACTGGGTTGCTTGCGAAGCACGCGGTGAGTGGGGGCAGAGATGTCCTGTGGGAAGGGATGGGCTTGGAAAGGCTGATGGATTTGGTGGGGGGTGGGGGTGGGGCGCGGTCTGAGTGAGGAGTGGAGAATGAGAAACTCTGATTCTGGTGTTTAACCTCCCGTCTGAAACAGCACCAACAGAGGAGGCCGCTGTACCGGTCAGCCTGGGAAGGCCTGAATGGCGGAGACAGCAGTGAGCAGTGAGCCCTCGAGGGCTCTGTGTCCTACCGAATGGAATTAAAATAGAAATGCTAGGAGAGGCATCTGGTTTAAGGAAGCATTTACGATGGGCTTTGAGGCCCGGCTAACATGAATACTCTGAAAAGGCAGCTCAGCTTCATTAATTGGCCAGGAATACAGTAAGAGTCCAATAAGTATTTTTATGAATGAAAGAATAAATTGAAAATGGATGGATGGATGGATGGCTTTGGTTTGTATTAGACTCTTTGGAAAAATGATGAAGAGGACGATTGAAGTTTCTTCCCAAGTTAGAAAGTTTTTGGTTGCTATGTTAGGCCTTGGCCTCTCGAGGCAGTTGAAGAGACACATAATCTCTGAAGAACAGGATTCTGCTGGACAGGATGGGGGGTTCAGGGAAAAGTCAGGTCACCTCTTCCCTGAGCCAGTGATCTAGCTGGATCTCGCCCCTGTGGCCAAGGATCAACCCAACTGCCAACCTTGTCAGTCACACCAGCCAGGCTGGGAAGGCTTCCGCACCACCAAATGTTGGCAGCCGGCCCTAGCATCCGCTGTAACATCCTCACGGTGGTAAAAGACACAGGTCTTCCATTGTGTGCAGGCGAGGGAGGCTGCGGGTGGGGGGCCCCAGACAGAGAGCAGATACATATGAGAGGAGGCAGCCTCCACAATCAAACAAAGGCTTGGCTGTGTTAGAGTATCCCTCAGGGAGTCAGACATTCAGATGATCAGGCTTGAGTTAAGGAAAAAGCTTTCTCTGCAAATAGAGCAGGTGCCTGGAAGTCGGAGCACCAACCCAAGATGCTGTGGGAAGCAAAATTGAAAGGCCCAGGGTGGCTGGTAGTCAAGGTCATGGTGCCACCAAGCAGGCCTCGGGAGCTAGGGGTGAGGAAGAATTGGGCTTGGTTTTAGTCCCTGGACAAGGAGGCTATGAATGTGGCTGGACTTAAAGAAGAGGCAGAGGATAATCGTGTTGAAGGAGAACTTAGAGATGAGAGGTCAGAAGTCTTGGGGTTTAAATTCAAGCTTTACCGATCAGCAGTTGACCGTGAGTACATTTCCTTCTTTGTGCCCTCAGTCTTGCACCTGTTCTGCTCTGGCGCAGGATTGTTGAAGATGGCAGAGGAGAAATGGACGTGCCCAGAAGAGGAGCAGAGCCCCACACCACCGTGAAGGGCTTGGGCATCAGCGATCATGATTTCTCTGCATCTCCTCACGGTGCTCAACGAATATAAAACAGCAGCAGTTCCCAGCTCAGAGACCCCACCCTGAAATATTCCCCACCAAAGTCAAGCGGGCTGCAAATAACCTGAGGGAGCAATGATTTCCCTTCCCGAAGCCCTCGGGATCAATTAGAACTAATCAAAGATTTGGCCCAAGAATTATAAATTGGAATTGATATAAAGTACTTCACTTCCAAACACCTCATTCTTCCCAAAATGATGATTCAAATAATTGACATTCTGAATGAGACTGAAAAATGTGCTTTGGGAAGAAGATGAGATTCCTTTGCCGAACAATAGATTCAGTATTTTTGGAATGACTGAGAACAACAAAGATAAAATACCCAAACCTACCTCATGAGTCAGTCAAGCTAAAAAACCAGACGTTGCCATTATCCAAGTTAAGCGAACAATGCTTTCTTAATTATTTGTTCTAATCAGTCAAAGGTCAGCATGACCTAGGATCTGACTCTAAGTCTGCTGAAGAGAAAACACCTTAAAATTCAACTTTTGGGGGCGCCTGGGTGGCGCAGTCGGTTAAGCGTCCGACTTCAGCCAGGTCACGATCTCGCGGTCCGTGAGTTCGAGCCCTGCGTCGGGCTCTGGGCTGATGGCTCAGAGCCTGGAGCCTGTTTCCGATTCTGTGTCTCCCTCTCTCTCTGCCCCTCCCCCGTTCATGCTCTGTCTCTCTCTCTCTGTCCCAAAAATAAATAAACGTTGAAAAAAAATGTTTAAAATTCAACTTTTGGGTTTATGGTAGGTGCTCAATAAATATTTGTAGGATGAATGAGTGTGTAGGCTAAGAAAGCATTCATTGAAATAGGTCCTATAAGATCTGAGAGCAAGGGCTGGGAGGCACCCCTTGGCACCCCTGGCACTTGTCATTGGGCCCTGCACTCACACAAACTCAGGGCATGATGGGTGGGGGAAAGATCAGTTATTATGATCACATTCATCATTTATAAAAATCAGTAATACAAATTTGTCCTGGAAAATAGCTGAATACTTATTTATCTATTTACTTATGTATTTAAAATGTTTATTTATTTTTGAGAGAGAGGGAGAGACAGAAGGACAGAGAGAGAGAGAGAGAGAGAGAGAGAGCATGAGCAGGGGAGGGGCAGGGAGAGGGAGACAGAGAATCCCAAGCAGGCTCTGCACTGTCAGCACAGAGCCCGACTTGGTGCTCAACTGTGAGATCGTGACTTGAACAGGAGTTGGATGCTTAACTGACTGAGCCACCCAGGCACCCCCGCTGAGTATTTGAAGTAGGTCTCTCCTGCATCCTGAAATCTTGTTACTGTAATTACCCAAATCAATTCAACATCTACTGAGAAAGAGTGCAGATTGTTCAAGGATGAGAGGGAGCCATTCCTAATTCCCTAAGAATGGCAGTCTAGGTGGTGGTGGAGTTGGGGCCAGGGGCCCCAGAGGCTGGCAGAAGAGCTGGCTCTGGGCGTCAAACAGGCGTGACACTCCCTCCAGGTTGCTGCGTCTTTCAATTAGTGTAATACTTTTGAGAGTCACCCACGTTGCTTTATCAGTAGTTATCCAACTAGCATTCCATTATATGGATATACCACCATATGTTAAACTGTTTGCCAGTTGATGGGGATTTGAATAGAGCTTCTATGAGCATTAAGAGTATAAGTCTTTGTGGACATATGCTTTCCTTTCTCTTGGATAAATACCTAAGAATGGGATTGCTGAGTGAAATGGTAAATGGATGCTTATCTTTATAAAATTCTGCCAAGTGTGTGCCATATCATTTTTTGCACCCCCATTGGCTATGTATGGAAGCCCCCATTGTTCCACACTCTTGTCAACACTTGGTGTGGTCGATTTATTTAACTTTATTTATTTCTTTATTTTAGTTTTAGCCATTCTGGTAGCTATGTAGTGGTATTTCATTGTGGTTTTAATTTGTATTTCCCTAGTGACTATTGATGTTGAACATATTTATCAAATGTGTACATATATTATATACAGCCTTATCAGATATATGCTTTACACATATTTTATTGCAATCTGTGCTTTATCTTTTCATTTTTCTTACCACTATCGTTTGAAGAGCAGGGTTTAAAATTTTTGATGAAGCCTAATTTATCAATTTTTGCTTTGATGATGCATGATTTTTGTGTTCTGGCTAAATATTTTTACTTAATCCAAAGCTGTGAAAGCTTTACCCTTTGTTTTTCTTTCAGAAGCTTTACTATTTTCTTGCATTTAGTACTAGGATCCATTTCAAGTTCATTTTTGTGTGTGGTCTGCAGTAAAGGTCAAAGTTCATTTCATGAATATGGAGGTCTGATTATACCAGCACAACTTATTAACCATAGATGTGTGGACCCATAGCTGGACTCTTACTCTGTTGCACTAATCTATCTCTACTTGTGTGTCTATACTCTGTGTGTGTCCAGGACCACATTGTCTATTTTTGTAGCATTATGTTAAGCCCTCAAAGTTGAAAAACAACTTTGTTTTTTTTTTTTTTTTTGAAATTGTTTTCTTAGATCCTTTGCATGTCTATATAAATTTTATAATCAGTTTGTGAATTCCTATACAAAAGCCTATCAGGATTTTGATTGAGATTAATTACTTGAACCTATATAGGTATTCATTTTGATAAATTAGATGAATACCATTGCTAACTGCCACTGATTTTTGAAACAAGCTTTGGCATTTCAGTAAACTGGTCAATTTTCAACTAGGCTGAGGGTTGAGGAGCCTATGAGTCTCACCGTCTCTTCCGATCCTAGGATGCAGTGAGATGAGGCATCGCTGTGGTGATAGAAACACCACCCTGGAATGTACCCAAGGCTCCAGGGACCACCATTTTGTCCTGAGAGGAAAGCCAGCCTCCTCCTTCAGGGGAACTGTGTGTCTGCGATGGTGAGGTACAACCTCACAACTCAGGCCCAAGACCAGCTGTTTTAGGCATTTCCAAACAGCCACCCTTCCCATGTTTGTCCAGAGCAAAGTTCGTGTGGTTTTGGAAAAGTAGTCTTACTCAGAGCCCAAGAACACCACAGGCCCCAGGAAGAGAGTATTCTGGGAAGGGGTTGAGGAGAGGCGCTGAGAAAGCCAGGGCGGAGGCACAATCTTCTGGAAGCATTGCCACCACGAGTGGGAGGTCTTCCAAATGGAATATCCAGAGCTGAGGCCACGATTGCCGCACGGCTCCCCTGGGGCGCACCCTCAGAAAGCTGCAGTTCGGCGGCAGAATTGTTGCCTGTTCTTTATACTGTGAATTGTTAGCAGCTTCTAAATAGACCTTTCACTTTTCCTTTTAGCACAGAAGGGTCTCACAACTCCAACTACCACCACAGGCTTGAGTATTTCAAGTCAAAACATTCCCCGAACCACAGCCCTCGGGTGAGATGCAGGGCTGGCCAAGAGTTTGGAGTAAAAACAACCCCCCACCAGCCTGGAAATCACTGGGTACACAAGAGGCTGGGGCACCTTGCTCGCACGGGCTGGGAACCTGAGCATTTTACCAGAGTTAATCTGATAAAGCTACCTTCTCTACCTGCCTCCACTTCCCCTCTGCCCCAGGAAAGAAACGCATTCCAGGACCTGGATCCCAGGGGGAGTGGGGTGTGGGCCACAGAGCAGCCTAGGGCACCTGGAGAACCTGAGCCATTCCCTCCTTAATTATGGAAAAAAATAAAAGAGGCTTTTGTAACCACCACCCCCCCCTCCCCCGAACCCCCGCGGCTGGGTTTGAATCAGGGAGCTGCGGATCAGTGCCAAGCCTCAGCTCAGAGCCTACTAGGTCCGCTGAGCAACTCCAGGAACAGCAGTGCGGTGGCAGCTGCAGGGAAGCCAGCCCCAGTCAACCCGGCGAAGCCGGGATCCCAGCAGTTTCGGCTCCTGGGGCCTTGGCCGCAGCCCAGCTGGTGAAGGAGATCCAGGAGGTCCTAGTGGACCCTCGCAGTGTGGCGGTTACTTTGTGGGAAAGGGTGGCTTTATCAAGTGCTTTGAAATCTAGGTCTCAGGCACCAAGAAGGTATTTGCAGGCAAGATCTTGCCGAAGTCGCTGCTGCTGAAGCCACTCCAGAAGGAGGACGCCCACGGATATTGGCATTCACCACAGCCTCGTCCACCAACACGTCATGGGCTCCGTGGCTTTTTTGACTACAACAACTTGTGTTGGAGCTCTGCTGCTGGAGATCTCGGGGGAGGAAAGCACCGAGCGAGCCCGCGGCCCGCTACTACCTGTGGCAGATGGTCCCTGGCTGCCACCACCTGTACCGAAACTGGGTTAATCACTGGGACCTCAAGCTGGGCTAACTCCTACTCAGTGAGGATCTGCGGGCGAAAATAGGGGATTCTCACTGGCAACCAAAGCTGAGTATGACAGGGATAGAAGGAAAACCCTGCGGTGCTGAGCCAGAGGGCACAGTTTGGAAATGGACACGTGGTCTATTGGATGAGTCGTGTATACCTTGTCAGCGGGCAAACCACCTTTTGAGACTCTTGCTTAACAGAGACCTCACAAGAATGAATACACTATTCCCACGCACATCGACCCCATGGCCACCTCCTTTGTTCACAAGATGCTTTGGACAGATCCCACTGCCAGTCAGGCCACTCAAGAGCTGCTCCATGATGACTTTTTTTTTTTTTTTTTAATGTTTATTTAGTTTGGAGAGAGAGAGACAGAGAGAGAGAGAGAGAGAGAGAGAGAGAAAGAGAGAGCAGGGGAGGGGCAGAGAGAGAGGGAGACACAGAATCCAAAGCAGGCTCCAGGCTCTGAGCTGTCAGCACAGAGCCTGACGTGGGGCTCGAACTGACAAACCTGGAGATCATGACCTGAGCCGAAGTCGGATGCTTAACCAACTGAGCCACCCAGGCGCCCCTCCATGCCTACTTCTTTACTTCCTGCTACATCCCCACCCTTGTCCACACCTGCCTCCTCATTCCACTGAGGTTTTCAGTTGTTCCCAGCAGCCTGGACCTGAGCAACGGGAAGCCTCTCATAATCCTCAGGGAAGGCGATGAAAACCCCAAGCCCCACCCCCCTGGGAAAGAGGGACTCATGGTCCGGGGTACCTGTGAGGTGGTAGTCTGCCACCCTGGTGACACGACGGCCGAGTGGTTACAAGCCAGGCCGCTGGGTCAGATGCCCTGATCCTGGCACTAGCACTTCCTTGCTGTGTGACCTTGAGCAAGTCACTCAATCTCTCTGAGGCACAGTTTTCCTCGCTGTAAAGTGAAGAATCAGCAGTTACTTTATAGAGGTTATTGGGAGGAGTTGGTGAGGAACATTTTGTCACTGGTCAGTGAGTGGCAGTGACAATTCGAAGGTGGAACACTGGGATCCAAACGACAGCTTTTATGCCCCACTTCCCTGGAATGATGCCGACTCTGCCAGTGTTTGAAAGACTCGGTTTCTACCAGGAAGCCCATCTGACCTGGGACTTGAGGGTGGGAACTCAGTGCTGACCACAGCCAGGTTTTAATGTAGGAAGAGGCTTCATTTTATGCTGGGGTCCTCCT